CAGGGGAAGAAGTATTTCTTTTCCGATCGTCACAAATATTGAATGGTGATGATTAAATATTAATGGGAAAAAATTGCACAAGACAACTATAGCGAAAATTTAGTAAAAGAAATTAGGATATTATAACCTGTCGGATTCCTTCTTGGGCATCATTGGGTTTATTTGTTCTTACAATTGTCCCTCTCTGCTTTCTACGTGGCACGGTACAGAAGGTGGAATGCTTGCAAGAATATATACTCTGCCTGTGAGGATATTATGGGCTCCTGCTGCCAAGAAGTTGTCAGAAAGTTCTCAAGAAGAAGTTGTCCAATGCCTATAATCTTAGTGTATCAAATTAAATATGTGTATGATTGTGTGTATCTTCTGTTAATAGGAAGTGTATTGTATTATATATATATGGATTGATCAATAAAATAAACATATCAAAGTAATCATACTATGCTTGTTGGATCATTTAAAATAAACAACAAATCATGTCACCCAAAAATAGACAAAAATGTAAAGGGCGAAGGAATAGAGTTAACACAAAAAGCCCGAAAAGTATGCATTCTACATTGTATATTTAGTAACAGTAAAATCCACATTGGTGTCTTCCCAATTTGACAAGAGAACAATACAAAGTTATTCGCAACAATAAATATTTGTACTCAATTACTATAACATTAGAGTAGGAATAAAAAATTGTACATGATTATTAATCTTTGAGTAACTGAATAACAAAAAGCACAAACCAAGCAGAGGCTTTTATGCTTCCAATAAGCTAGAAATTGAAGAGACATGTCAAGGGAAAACTTTAATAAAAGTGCATTTGAGTTTATCAGGTAGATCATTGAAACTTTATTGAATTTAAAGGTAAAATTATACTAAAGAATATGAAGTGTGGAAAGTAGAGTATAGATGAAGTGAGGTGAGTGGCGATTGGAGTGCATAATGTGTTCACATGGTGATGGAGGTGAGAACGTTGAATGAATGTTCACGATCTCGCGTAGGTGTTTATGGGTGAAGTCGATTAATTTTTATTGAGAGTGATAAGTTTGTAAGCATGCATAAATAGTAACAGATGATCTATGGGGATGAAAGTATATGTTGTTGGGAATAAGGAGTTGTGGAAGAGAATTATAGTAGAGAGAAATTTTATTTGAAAGAAACGTTGATACTTTCTTCTTTTTTCAAATGCGCATACTACATGGGTATTTATAGGAAAATTATTTGTAGTAGGTAAAATTTATTAATACATTGAGAATAGTAAAAGTCTGTTCTTGAATCTTCACTGCCTTGAGAATTGGTGCGTTGGAATCCTTATTCTTTTTATTTTGGGATTGCAAATTATATTTAACACCCCCTCTTAATTTGTAATTCCAATATCTTTCTTGAACTGTTGAAACTTCTCTTCGGTGACTGCCTTCGTGAGTGCATCGGCAAGCTGTGCTGTGGTCCTAACATACTCCAGAAAGATTTCTTTTTCTTGCACCTTTGTACGGATAAAGTGATGTCTGAGCTCGATGTGTTTTGTTCTTCCATGAAACACTGGATTCTTTGTCATGGAAATTGCTGGCATATTATCACAGAAAATTGGAGTGGGTCCATCAACTCTCTGTAACAAATCTTTCAAAATTCTTCTGAGCCAAACTCCTTCTCGAACTGCTTCATTCGCAGCAATGTACTCTGCCTCCGCGGATGACATAGCAACTGAATTTTGCTTCTTCGAACTCCACGAAATTGCTTTTGATCCCAAGCAAAAAATGTATCCCGATGTGCTCTTCCTGTCATCTTGGCTTCCAGCCCAATCATTGTCCGTGAATCCAATCAACTCATTGTTCTCTTCCCTCGAATATTTGATGCCAAGACATTTTGTCCCTTGAATGTAACGGAGAATCCTTCTGCAGCCGCAAAATGTGACTTGCTTGGATTGCTCATAAACCTGGAAATCAAACTTACAGCATGTAAGATATCCGGTCTTGTGTGTGTTAGGTAGATGAGCGATCCGACAAGGCTCCGATGAATGCTTGGGTCGAATTTTTCTGCACCATCATCAAACTTTAATCTTTCGTTCAGGGCCATGAGTGTTGCAGCAGGCTTGCAATTCTCCATTCTAAACTTCTTTAGCATGTCTGCTGCATGCTTTTCCTGGGAGATGAAGATACTTCCATTTTCTTGCTTTACTTGAATGCCGAGAAAATACTTCATCACTCCGAGATCGGTCATTTCAAACTTTCTCATCATCGCTTCTTTGAACCATTTCACCATTGCATCATTTGTTCCTGCATAGATTAGATCATCGACATATAGGCAAACCATCAAAAAATCATTCTCACTTTTCTTCACATAGAGAGATGGTTCGGAAGGACTTTTATAATATCCATTTTACCGGAAATATGCATCAATCGTGTTGTTCCAGCATCTTGGCGCTTGCTTCAGCCCGTACAGTGCTTTGTGCAACCTGTACACTTTTTCTTCTTTGCCTTTCGCTTCAAATCCTTGTGGTTGTTTGACGTACACCTCCTCTTCTAGTTCACCGTTCAGAAATGCAGTTTTTACGTCAAGTTGGAACACTTTCAACTCCAATTGTCCTGCGATTGCAAGAACAGCTCTTATTGTTTCCATTCTAGCTATAGGTGCAAATGTCTCCGTAGAATCCACTCCAGGCTGTTGTGTGTATCCCTTTGCCACAAGTCGTGCTTTGTACTTTTGTATAGTTCCATCTTCATTGAACTTGGTCCTGAAGACCCATTTCAATCCAATCGCTTCTTTTCTTTCGGGAAGATCCACCAACTTCCATGTTTGATTCTTTTCGATACTTTTCATTTCATCGTCCATCGCATTTTTCCACGCTTCGTCTTTCATAGCTTCTTCAAAAGATTGTGGCTCGCATGCAAATAACGCAACATTAGATGAGTTATAAATTTCATTGCTGAGAGTTACTGTTTGATGAATCAGTAATTCTTTGGTATGATTGTTGTGGAAGAAGTGGGTCGAGCTCAATGAAGGTTTCTGTTGTTTCTTCTTTATCCCATTTCCATGTCGCAGTTTCATCAAAGACAACATCTCTTGATAGTACCAATTCCTTCGTTGATGGATTGAATAAGCGATATCCCTTTGATTCGTCGCTATACCGATGAAGATAAGTTTTTCTCCTTTTCCATCGAACTTCTCCCTATTCTTGGATGGAATTAAAGCGTAGGCAATGCAGCCAAAAACTTTCAATTGATTTACAATGGGTTTCTTCTTGTGCCATGCTTCGTACGGTGTCTTGTCTCGCACAGCTTTCGTTGGAGATAAATTCAGAATATGCATAGCGGTGTGAACAGCTTTTGCCCATAATTCATTCGGGAGATCTTTTCCAGCAAGTTGTTGGTAAACCTATCTACCCCAGAATTTTTGGCATTAAGAAAGCGAAAGAAGCTTGGGAGATTCTGAAAACAGAGTTTCAACGATCAGAAAAGGTGATTACCATAAAGCTGCAATCTTTGTGGAGACAAATTTGTTGGAAATAAGGAGTTGTGGAAGAGAATTGTAGTAGAGAGAAATTTTATTTGAAAGAAAAGTTGATACTTTCTTCTTTTTTCAAATGCGCATACTACATGGGTATTTATAGGAAAATTATTTGTAGTAGGTAAAATTTATTAATGCATTGAGAATAGTAAAAGTCTGTTCTTGAATCTTCTCTGCCTTAATAATTGGTGCGTTGGAATCCTTATTCTTTTTATTTTAGGATTGCAAATTATATTTAACATATATGATATATGTATAAATTTCGTAGGGAGAGTGACGCATGCAAGTTGATATATAAGACTTCTGTTGGCTAATGAACTTCCATAGGCAATCATGGAAAGATAAGTTAATTCCTAGCAAATTAAAAAATTGCATACTTATCCCAGATGGTAGAACTTTAAACTATCCTTTCCATAAATGACAATTACTTCCATTAAGATACGTAACCTCTTTGTATTCTTCTCGATCATTCAAGTAAGTCAATACACCAATTATTTAAACCAAGATCTAATTGAACTCTGATAGGATTACGGAACCCTATTTTGCAGGATTCTTCAAAGAGCACTAATTATGATCAAGAATCCTTCAAATCAATGGTAAAACTTGGGTGGTCCAAACCAAAGAGAACAGCTCCTCCACATTCAAACAATGTACAGAAAACCTTCAAGAAATCTTATAATAATACTCCAGCAGACAATTTATGACAAAAGCAAGCAGCAATTAAAAATATATATATATAAAATCAATTATTGTACATAATGATATGACAATGAATGCAACTGCAAAAATGCTACAAGACAAGAACAATGATAGCAAAAGAATGGCCAGGTTAAAATTCATGAAACAATGTTTACTTCTAGCCAAAGAGTTCTTCAAAATTACAAAGAAAATTAGATTATATTCTCATGCCATTCACTCATATATATTACGCTTTGTTGCGTCTTATTTAGGTCCTCATCTTCGTCGGAACCCTCTCTATTTATATTTTCAACTTTGTTTTCACTCCCATTCATCAAAGTTTTATCTATAATATTAAAATATCATATGTTATTACCTATACTAAAGCATAAAAGTGATGACTTTTTCAAACGTGCAGTATATATTTTGTCCAGTATATATTTTGTCGATGAAATAAACAAAGCATAAAAGTGATCAATGAGTATATGTGGATGATTTTTTTTATAATTTTCCTGGTTAAAATCTCAACCAATTATAGTAATTTGACATACTGGATATATATAAAAAAAATCATCACAATTGCTTGTCAATTATAAATAATACTAATAGATATTACTGAAATAAATTTATGACATATGGAATTAGATTCTTCGATACAGATGATGCTTTCACACATGACAGGTTTTGCTACAGTCTCTCTGATCTCATATAAAACAAGAGGGGTACAGTCGGAATCCCATACCTCCAAGAAGAAGAAATTTGGTTTCAGAAAAAAAAAAAAAAAAGAATAACGACAGTAAAAACAACAAAACTGGTAGAAATGGCTGGGCGGAAACAGGTGTCGCTCTCAGCCACCACTGAGTCCAAGCGCAATGAAAATTTTCCGGTCAAATATACGAGGCAGAATTCACGACGTAAACCTAAAAAGATGAAGCACCTTGACAAATTAGTTCTACCTCAGGTTGAGATTAGGGAAACACAAGAAAAGTTCAGTAATCACCAGTGTGGCCTAGATTCGAATGGCGAAAAGGCCTGTGGCAAGAGAAAAACAAGCACAACTATCGCGGTAGATTGTGGATCTGATGATGATGCTGTGACTCAGGTATTATTTTTTCAAACTACCCTTTTTGTCAATTCGAATCCAATTTCATTACTAATCTGAAATTTTCATTTTTGAGAGGATATTTGAGAGATTACTATATAAGGTCACCAAAATATATATAAGAATTGTTTAATAATATTTTAACAAAGTGATATGATATATGTTATTTTTATTTTTTTTAGTGATAACTTGTTGGATGATGTGAGATTAGAAAAGAAGAATCTATTTTTCCCTTGAGTAGTTATTTTGTGAAATCAAAGTACTTCTTACATATATTAAGAGAAATTTTATTTGTTTTCTTCTTGTTGCAATAATAGCTTCTTCTGTTTCTTTTTCCTTTTTCCTCTTTCCCCTTTTCTTATTAAAAGATTCAATTGTAGCAAAATACATGTTTTCTTTCTTTTTATTAAACTATTTGTAATTTATTTGTTTTTAATTTCTTGGGTGTTTAAATGTGTAGCCATCACATTATTCGACCTTTCATCAACATATGTGTGTTTACGTACGGACATATATTAATTGATCTATTGATTGCTTTGTTCGAGATGTGTTAAGAAGGGATCCAAGTTTCGAACCTAGTACCAATTTGTTTTAAGTGGAGAGGCCTTTCACCCTTGCACGTGACGGGCGCATTGGTGGACTTCCGTTTGTATATAAATAAATAAATGATACATATCCTTAACAATTTAAGCTAATAGGTGAAACGGTAATTCCTGATCATTTAACAAGATGAATATACTATCAACATTTTCTGTGCACGGAAGAAGAATGAGAAGAAGCAAAAAAAAGTGCTTGTCATAGAAGAGACAACAAAACAAGATAGTGGTAATCAAGATCATACTTTGGATCTACAGAGTTCTATATCTATTATGTATTTATTTATATTATATATGTGATTTGGTGGTGGGATTCAATAGCACTAATTTGATCAATATACATACATATATATATTAAGGGGCCGGAACATCAAGAACTGAATCAGAGTGTTGTGCGACATCGACACCTTTGCCCGATAAGAAGTTGTTAGCTGCTATTTTTATCAAGCTGCAAGAGTATGTGTTTTTACATTAGTTGTACATTCTGTTTCTCTGTATTTTTATTGGACGAGGCATGTATTTATAAATATTTTTTCATTTGTTGCAGAAAGGATGCTTACAGGGTATTTTCTAATTCCGTGGACGTCTTACAAGTTGGTTCCTTGCACATGCTCTGGGCTGACATTATATGCTTGAATGTATATACCATTACGTGGTAGTTTGATTCTGACGATGATGTTTTATTGCAGCTTCCTGATTATTACGATGTGGTAAAGCAGCCGATAGACTTTGCAACTATTCGGAAGAAGCTAAGGAAAACTGTTACAAGTGTTTGGAGGACTTGGAGGTTAATTGGTTCTGCAGATTAATTAATAACTGTGGAGCTGCTATTATAACTAATAATGGTACTATTATTATTTTCATTTTTCCTTTGATTATTTTGTTTTGTGTTTTCAGGCTGACAATCAGTTGCTATGTTGCAATGCAATATTGTACAAATAAGCTTATACTGTCTACCATAAGCAGGTTTGTAGACTCTCCTATGGATTAGTATTTAGGGTTTGTATTATGTGGTTGATACGGCATTTCCATTTCTTTTGTTACTTTTGTGTAATGCTGTGAATAATAATGGAATGAATGTATGTAGGCCCTTGCCATACAAAAGCTAGCCGCAGAAGAGTTTGGAAGATTTAAAGATCATGAGGGCAAAGACAAAGTAAAGGAGAAGGAGAAGGAGAAGGATATATTTAACCAGTGTAGTTAGGACGAAATATTTTAGTAGTTGTAATAATTACAAAGAAATTACGATAAAAAAAATAAAATACAAATTTTGACCGGATAAAAAACTATTTGTCATGTACAATTTGTAACTAAAAGAAAAATTTTCCACAATATATTTTTGCGGTAGCTGAATCCGTGGCAAAACCCACTTTTTTTTTTTTTTTTTTTTTTTTGTAGTGTTGTAAACAAGATTATTTAGTTATCTTATCTTTCTTTGATTTGCTTGCGTTATTTTTGTTAGCGGGTTAATTTTGACTTTTTTAGTTAGAGCATCAGATACATCAGGGAGGCAATATATTTCATTCGAATATTTGTACTATTTGATTGGATGAAACATTATATTTATATTATTTATATACTACAAGTGTTTTAAAAACGTAATCTTAAATATTAAAAATACAGTTTATAACTATACAGAATGAAGTTAATTATTGGCAATATCTAATAATTACAGAAAATTGGTTTTAAAATATAGTGAGTATTATATATTATAATTTTTTTTAGAGCAAAATTATTAGTATTTAAAATATGTAAATTGATAAATTATTGTTGTAATATAAATATGGTATTATAGTAAGATTTAAATATATATATATTTCTTTTATCATTCAAAAATATAATACTTCATATTCAACAATCTATTTTCCCTCTTTATCTTTCTAATTTTGTCCAAATATACTTTGATATAAAAATTTCATTAAAAATATATACAATTTGATATATATATATATGCACATATTATATATAATTTTTAATAATGTAAAAACAATAAGTTAAACTATTTGTGTATAAAAGTAGGAATGATAGGTAAATTCTAGTAATTATAAAAAAATAAATAAATATAAAATAGAAATAGTTAAAAAATAAAAAAAAAATATAAATAAAATAAACTTAGTAAAAATTTCATAAAAGAAAGAGTATATGTATATATTAATATATACAGTAGATTAGATTGTAATACATTATCTAAAAAAATGAAACCATATTGGATGGTATAAAGAAAAATATAAAAATAATATATATTACATGTTAGAAGGATTTATCTGGTATTGTAAAAAGCCTGTACAAGTAGCGTTTCTCATTCTTTCCCCTCCTTCCCTTTTCCTACCTCTGCCTGCATTGCTTTCGAAGTTGATTTATATTTTGCCTTTTCCATCTTTGGTTGATTAACTTGATTTATATTGAATGGGATCGATAGACGATAGAGGGAGATCACATATTTGATTCACTTGATTTACAATGTGGCAGGATTTGACTGGGATTGCGACCGAATTGTGGATGGTGGCAAGAATATTTTTCATTTATCTGAGTGCACAAAAATTAGGTTTGGGAGTAAATCTACATCTGCAGACACTTTTAGAGTACATCTTTCTACTTGCTTAATCATTATTATTTTTAATAGTTTATATCAAATAATCATCTTCCAGGGTATTGAAATTGTGATCGACGTTGTTGTGGTTCTCTTGAAAGGGGAATCCACACTCGGAATTACACTGAAATGCACAAGAACAACAACGGTTAAAGAAGTATGCAAGGCAGGTAGTTCATCCATCTATCCATTTGTTTATAAGTGATTTGGTTTGTTATGGTGTTTTTTTTGTTCCTATAGAGTGATATGACAATGAATGCAGACACCAAAATGCTACAAGGCAAGTACAATGATAGAAAAAGAGTGGCCAGGTTAAAATTCATGAAATAATCTTACTTCTAGCCAAGGAGTTCTTCAAAACTACAAAGAAAATTATATTATATTCTCATGGCATTCACTCATTTATTTCACTTTGTTGTCTTATTAAGGTCCTCATCTCTGTTAGAATTCTCTGGGCATGACCAAAATGGTACTGAGATTGCGGCAATACAACGCTGCTCATCTCAACCCAAACAAGGGAAGCTGATGAGAAAGTATAGATTTGTTTATTTATATTTTCAATTTTGTTTTCACTTCCATTCATTAAAGTTTTATCTCTAATATTAAAAAAAAAATCATATATTATTACCTATTCTTTAAAAAAAAAAAAGAAAATAAAATGTGAGACTTAAACATTTATCTTTCATTGGAGTTCAAGGTTTAGGGTTTGGAATATGTGGTTGATATTGCATTTTCTATTTTATTTTGTAAACTTGTACAATGCTATGAATAATAATCGAATGATGGTATTTAGGGGCTTGCCATCCAAATCTTGCCAATGAAGAGTTTGGAAAACTTAAAAATGTTGAGGGTAAAGATGAAATATTGGAGAAGGATAATGATAAGGAGAAGGAGAAGGCTCAAGAAGTCGAATTGCAGTTGTCTAATAGTTGGAACCGAGAATAGTTGGAACCAAGAATCATCCTACTCTTACCGCAAAGAACAATCTGAAAGCTCCTCCCATACAATGTCTAATAGTTGGAACCAAGAATTCCTAGGTATGTCAGAGTAATATTATATTGATACTTCTAAATTTGACATTTTCTCGTCAAGTGTACATCAATTAGGCTAATGTGGCTTGCTTTTTACTTCAAGTTTCCGTTGTAAGGGCAGATGTTAAAGGTAGATTAATTTTTTAAGGAATCTGAAAATTACTATTTTATTCCAGCCTATAGCTCAAATCTTATCTCAATCCCCCCTTTCTCCTCTATCTTAAAACATATATATATATATATTAATATCATATCTTCCATTCCCAATCCTCCTTTATCAATTTTATTCATAACCTACTCCCCCGGATTATCTCCTCATCAATGGTTTGTATTAAATTAGGAGTTTAATAGTAATTTTTAATTTTCCTAATTTACATAACTACTTCAAACCTCACTCTCCTTCTTCTTTGACGCAGCATTAGCTAGAAACACAAATGCGTCCCTTCCAACAAAATTAATGGGTGATATCAACGGAAATGAACAAAATGAATTATCCATTACTCCAACCCAATAGCAAGCAATAGAGACATTGGAGATATTGCAATTTCGGATGCTCCAGCGTCTTCGCCAATACCAGACATAGCGGAACTGGAAATCACTCAATGGCCTAAGTTACTTCTGGGCAGTTGATTTGACACCGACAACACCTTCTACGATTTATTTGATACTGGATTATGACATCTTTAGTCAAATTTGGACAATAGTTTATATAATTGTATTAGTATAATTGTTTTCATTGTTTTTCGGGATTTAGATATTAACGAAGCTATCAGAATCCCCGTCCGGAGTGATAAGAATTTCGTAAATATGTATTAGCAATTAAAATTTCTTACAAACGTATTTTTTAAGAGAATATTTACGTAATGTTTTCTATAATAAAAAAATTTAAAGTTGTCCCAAGACAATTTTTTTTTTGTTTTTGTTTAGAATGTTTGCATAGTTATTCAATATTATGGATTTCCACAAGTTAAAATGGTTCTGGTGATGTTTCAATATTTCCCTTTAACGACTATTAATATGTTGAGTGACTAATATAAAAATGCTATTTGCATATATGGAAAATGTTGTTCCAATAGTTAAGGTATGATGTAATATAAATTTGACATAAAATTATGATCCAAGAATATGAACGTGCTACTTAAATTCTATATCTATATATACAATCCCTGAAATTATGCACAAGAATCATTGTCCAAATTATTATATAAAACAAGTTACATATCTACCCATGTACACAATTTCATCCATTAATCTTTCCAGGACAATGAAAAGTTCAGGACCTTCTTGAAATATGCAACCAGAACCATACCCAGACCCATATATATATCTAAGGTAGAAAGTAATGTAGTGTATTTAATTTTTTTTATTTTTTTATTGAATATCCATATGTAATACATGTATACATTTGTTAATATAAATAAGATTATGAATGTATATACATAATGTAAAAAACAAATAGGTCACAATCAATTTACTTTGATTAATTACTGAAATGATGAATTTTCTTAATTAAGCTTGTGAATTCTTCTCATATGCAAAGAGTTTTGGTTATATTCTTATTAATTTTAAAATTTAAAACTATGACTAGAATATAGAATTTTTTTTTGCATAATATGACTGTATATTAATTTTTGAACAATTTTAACTTTGAATAAAATCACGAAATATGTGGGCTCCACAATGCTTTGATAGTGCGATTTGGGTTTTATGGGTGTTAGTTAAAATTTCAGCACTTTTCAGATGTTAGATGTAGCTTTGACATAAATGTAGTATAGTACACTGATAATATTTATTCATGGTTCAATTTCATTTTGGCTAAAATACTAAATATAATTAATAGAAATATTTTTTATTTTTTAAGTAAATCAGAACTATGAAAAATCAAAATTATTATGTATGTTAACGAAGGTTGCTATGAAAACATCAAAATAGTAGAATATTATATAATAATAAAACTTTAATATATAGACTGACACCACATGTCAACAGAAGTCATTTTAATCTTTGTCCTTAACCATGAGCAGTTCCTAGGGTTCCCATCATGAAGTTATCCTAGAATATGCACACTTTACTTTACGCACATTGTGATTTGTGTTCATTTATAAAAATTATTTAAGCCAAAAATGGAATGCAACAAAGATGAAGCCACGAGAGCCAAAGATATGGC